AAAGGGTTGCACAAATTGCCTATAAATCTAGGAGATACTTAAAAAATACCTAGGGCAAGAGACATGCCCGGTTTTATTAACAAAAGAACTGGGACATCTACTTATAAATAATAGGTAGTCCCTGTGGTAGTCCCTGTCATGCTCCGGGAAAACACAACGCGCCATTGCTAGGATATGGGAGAAACCCGGAGTATCTTCTGCCGTCGCTAGGATATGATGAAATGAATGATGATAAAACTAATAATCAGTTTCCCTGTGGCTAATTAATTAAGCACTCGGCCATGAAAACGTCCTGAAGGGAAGGAGATAAACGGTTCGAGGAGTGGAAGAGCAGGTGTAAGAAGAAGAAGGAAAGAAAGGGGAGAAGAATGAGAATAAAAGAAAAGGGTTGGGAAAGCAACGAGGGCGATAAACGGGAAGGGGACAAAGATAAACAAGGTATAAAGCAAAGAAGCGGGCGAACTGATACTGCGTACAATTGTTTCTGCAACATCNATCCACTAATAGTAATAGAACAAATTCTAAGCACCATCGTGAAATTTTTAAGCGTCATGTTAATTGGAGACTCGGAATTTTGAAGGCCTGCAAAAGTACGCGTATAACTAAGCAATATGGCTTAACCCAAAATGCTTACTGCTCTGTATCACTGTACAGTGGGCCTACTGATTTCATGAGAGGTTCAACATCAAGTTAATAATATTTTAGGCAGCGCCATAGCTTAAGCGGTTAGTCGTTGGCTTCCCACCGATCCCGGGTCTGGTCAAGTGGGATTTGTGGTGGACAAAGTGGCGCTGGGGCAGGTTTTCTCCGAGTACTTCGGTTTCCCCTGCCAATCTTCATTCCACCAATTGCTCCATAATCACCCTCACCTATCATCTGGGGCTGGTACAATAGGCCAGCAGTGGCCGCAGTACAAGGGACTTAGTCCCACCCCACTAGCAATAAAAAAATAATAAAAATTTAAAGAATACATTCAGGTACACCAGACAATATAAAAAAATGGGTGTTTAATATTAAATATGATTACTGTGAAGCCTAAATATACACATATATTGTTTAGCTATAGTAACAGCTGAGCGAACGCAATTCCACGACACAATACGAGCACATAATGTGTTACCAGAAACACAAATCTATGTCGACACGGTAAGTAGCCCGTAATGGCCATCAAGGAGAAACATTCTAAACACTGCGACAAATGTGGCACCCACATGCCTTGCGGGATGTAACGCCGTGTAGTCTGGTATATAGTTATAAATGTGGCGGCAGCATGTTCTTCTGGAACATTTAATATATACATAACTACACGGCGTCACGACTGGTGTAGTATAATGCTTTAGATTCGTATTCGGGAGATTATTGGTTCGACTCTCGGGCTGTACAAAAGGCGGACTTCTAGACTGAAGAAAATCGTGGGTTTCCTCTGTCCCTCGAGGTAAATGCCGGGATATCATCTCTATCATCAGAAGACCGGTTCCTTCCAAATCCGTTCCAATTCATATACCATTCTACCTTCTTGAGAAGCCGCCAGTTGTGCGGCTATTCAACAACTTCCCAGCGTTTTATGGAACCCGAAGATTCATTACCGTGTTCACAAGAGCCTTCCACTGGTCCCTAACCTTACCGAGAACAATCCAATGCATACCATCTCCCTAAGGTCCATTTTAATATTGTCCACCCACCTACGTCTTCGTTTTCCTAGTGGTCTCTTTCCTTCTGACCTTCCCACCAATATCCTATATGCATTCTTTTTCTCCACAATTCGTCCTACAAGCCCTGCCCATCGCACCCTCCTTGACTTGACCATTCTAATTATTCTTGGAGAAGAATACAAGTTATGAAGCTCCTAATTAACCCGAAACTGAAAGCGTCGTTAAATAATCAACTCACTGGTATCCGCGTGGAACACCACGACACTGATCGACACTTCTACAAACCCGAAGCACTGCGTCAGAGCACATTTTTGAGTAACATACGTGACAGTAAAATATGAAGGCGTGTTAGCGTTAAGATTAAATCTTTAATCATCCCATTCCAAGAGACTGCATCTCGTCGCTTCTAAAAGAAATTAGTCGCTCATACACTCCGGACACAAGGTTAATCACAGACTGCTCATTATTAACGTGCAGCATCGCTACGAGGTCATTCCCTCTGCCGAAGCTCTGACATCTTCAACAAACTGACACGTCATTCCTAATTACCAGTCATTTGTACTTACGTGTACTTCACCGTATTTTGTTTGCAGACGCGAGCCAACTCCGGGTAGCAGTGCCCTCCTTTTGAGAAGCAAACCCGCAGCATTCTATGGCACCCGAAGTTACATAAGGCACACCACTTCTCCCCTTTCCTGAGCTACTTTAATCCAATCCATACCCGTTCTAAGATGCATTTTAACTCTTTCAGAGACTGATCGGACTGGTCTTCGTCAGCACAGTCATTTTGTCTTCAGGTCTCGTCGAGTTCTATGACCAACACTTCTGCTCTCTCATATACATGTACGTATTAGAAGTGGGACCTTCTCCTATTTATTCTAAAAGGGCGGCCGGCGCGTAAGGCTGACAACCTGACCACAATCTGTGAGCCGATTTTCTAGAAAATGTGGGAGCCTCGACGTCTCACAACCGTATGAGCCTCCACGGCCTGCTACATGGATAGCTTTATCTTTACTGTGAGATAGATTTGCAGTTTCTTACCCAAGCCGAATACACCTTATGGACTCGATAGCTTCTGTATTCTGATGAATAAATTTATGGCGAAAATTAGATTATGAAGGACAAAGGACTATCACATTATAAAATATTTAATGATATCTGAATTAAATTAAAGTTTACGACAGCTGTTTGCGTCCCTTTAGGTTCACAATCTGATGCTCCACAAAGTTCCACAAGAAACTACGCAGCTGAGTGTTCAATGTGTTCTTGCAACTGTAGACAATGTTACCCCTGAACGTTATGTTGCCCAGTATCTCCAAGACGTAAGTTCAAGCCTCACGCAAGCCGTTAACTTCAAGTGTCAGGATCTACAATGACATTCAGAGCAACACGCGATCTGAACATGAAAAGTTGAATAAATAAACAGTATATCTTAACCCAATATGCAGTGCTACCAACATTTTAACCTTCAACCAACTCAATCATGCGATTTTTCAGAGTAAAAGTTAAAGCTGTCCCTGTGCTTAATTAGTTATGCAATATGCCATACAGATATATGTGGGAGTGGAGGTATAGCTACGTCATTCTTGACCTCGGCACTAGATGGATGTGAGTGATCAGCTTCACGCCCAGGCCGCTTTACCCAAGGGGAAAATGACGTCGGTATCCTGTACCCATTTGATAGGAGGCTGGGTGGCCCACAGAGCTAGTCAGGAACGTTATGGAGAAAAATCTCTTTCCTCAACCGGGAATCAAACCTAGACCGTCCAGCTCGTAGCTTGTCGCTATACCTAGCTATCGCGGCTCAATTACAAAGAACGGTTGGCCAGTAAGGGGAAAAGTCGCTGTTTATTGTACCTTACGAAATCCATCAGTTCCCTCTGTGGGCAAAATGCAAATTTTCTCAACCCTAAAACATATTGTACATATAGCAAACGCTGTGATCTAGCGTGTTGAATGGTGAAAGCACAGAGATGAGTTTATTACCTCATTTCATGAAATAAACGGTGAAATTATCTGTTTGACGAAATACTGTATCTAATGTAAAGTTTTCACTGTAATTAAATCTTTCTAGAAAACTATTTAAAGGGCCCCAAAGTAGGGATGATGGCGGTACGTAACAAAGTTTAACAGATGCCCTAACAAGGAAGTAGGTTGGAACCAGTCTGCATTAGCTTCTTGACACTCGGGAACTCCCAGTAACTTCTGTCACCAGGCACAAGTTCACAAAACTCTGTTCCCTCGAAACGATTTAAATGTGCCATCATTCATCCCTTACAGTTCAACTTCATGAAAAGGCATCTCGAAATCATCTTTGTTTCAAACTGCTAGATAAATCATCACCCTAAAGCGACTAAACCCATCACCAAATCTGTCACTAAAAACAGGATAAAATATATATTTGAAGAAAGCAGTCTTCTGGGATTTGGCACCGTGTATATGTGGTGTTAACCGACGTTTCGGAGGAACGTATCGCCTCCATCTTCACAGGGTAGAAGAAAAAATATAAGAATTCTGCAAGCGAAGAGACCGTGAGAACCGGTAAAAGCAGACTGTGTCTGCTTTTTTCTTCTACCCTGAAGATGGAGGCGATACGATCCTCCGAAACGTCGGTTAACACCACATATACATGGTGCCAAATCCCAGAAGACTGCTTTCTTCATAGTCACCGCCGTGAAAGCCTCAAATCTTACAAAATATACGAGTATATTTGTTTCAACATGTGTTAAGTATGTCCTCCTGCCTTAATTATTTCCAATCTGAGGATGGAGACAGTATATGCCTCCGAATCATCGGCAAAACATAGAATTTTCATTCGGTAAAAACACCCAAGAGCAGATCACCGTCAGTATGTCTTTCTGGTAACACATTTTTCGAAAAATATTTTCTATAAAACATTTCTGAAGGTAGGTCACACCTCGAGTAGGCAACCTTATGGAATTAAAAGTCCCTGTGTGTTCAATAAGATCTTCGGTATGGGGATTTTGTTTATTATTCTATGACGGAAACAGATTCTAGTAACATTCGGACCGTGACGTAAAGACATACGTCACAATTTTATGACGTAACCTCAGACATGTTCTACATACACAATATCCATATGTACCACATACTCGTACTTTATAGTTTAATTTGGTATACAGAATAAATTAGGATAAAAATATCCCAAAATGTATTTAAATGATTCACATCTATAAAGTTATGTACATATAAAAGGATTAATATAACAACGTGAATTTTTTGTTCACACTTCAAATGTATTCACATTTCTGTGTTGTGGTTGTTATACACGTGTTACCTAGTGTACCCCGCTCGCGCACAAACAAACAGACAAACAAACATACTTACGTGTAAGGTATTGGATGTAAGGGAAGACTGAGAAGTTGGCCCCTGTAACCGAGCGCAAAATATTCAAATTTCCTACACCAAAATTAAATCAGTAACATGATAAACACTGATCATGTTACCGTCTTTCAATATAGTAGCTCCCATTAAAAATGGGGTCCACAATCCGAACCAGTCACATGTAGACTTAAATACAGCCTCTTATATTGTACAGTGCGTTCAGTTAAGGAGGAAACTTGGCAACACCACTGACCCGACCCAACATTCCTCACAGATTGCTACTGTAACTGCTGATAGCAGAATGAGTCATTAGCGCTGATAAACGCGCGCCGTTACAGTTACAGCAGCAATCTGTGAGGAATATTGGGCCCGGTCAGCGGTGTTGCCAAGTTTCCTCCTTGACTGAACGCTCTGTATTGTACTACCTTAATTCTAAAATTAGAATAATAAATAGAAATTATTTCCAAAACGTATACTTAACGACATAAAAAGTATATACATATTAAACATTCATTCGTAACTTTAATGATTAGCTTCGGCTTTTGCAAATACGCAGCTTAATATGCTGAAGATTTTTCCATCGTTTCGACCAAAATATTTCAGTTGAAAATTTTAATTGTTTCGGGGATTTTTGGCATTTCTAAGGCCGACTGACAGTCTATTGCAACATCTATATAGAAGCTGCTAGGTCTGCCACCAAAGCCATTAGCGATGATAACATTCCCTGAAAGGATGACAAACCTTCAACACCCTCTATCACGTATTCTCGAAAACCGAAGATAGACATCAAGGTCCAGCCGCTTAAACCTAAAGATAAAACTGTAATGTAATTTTACATATTTCCAAAAATTAGTTTAATTAACAATGCTAAAGAGTTCGACATAAGTATCACGAATCGTATTAAAATACACGTCAAATTAAACCAATAAATTTATATCACATATATGCGTCATATGTTGATTGTAACATCCAATTCATAGAAACATACAATTTCCTCATAAATGGGGCTCAAATCAAAACAAAAAGGAGCTCACATGCTGCATGCAGGGCTGATACATACTGGCCTCTCCGGCGAAATTTTTTCGCAGAGTACAACAATTTCTTTGTTGGAAATATCGCTAAGGCTACGTCACGCCTTGAGACGGCAACCCTGCAGAACAACCTGATGCCGACATATCCTTAGATATGTTTCAAACATAACATGCTCTGACGCAAAGTTACACACGCACATACGATAAACCATCACATTCATTTATAACAAAATAAAATAATTTAAATATTCAAACGTCTGAACAAGCCTTACAATGCCAAATATCCATATTACGTTTCTATGGATAGGTTACTCTGAAGATGGAGACAGCAAGATCCTCCGAAACGCCATTAATGACACCTTACATTAATTTCACACTGATATGGTCCATCAGGTATACCATTAATGTGTGTGTAAGCGAACACTGCATGTGCTGGACTTTCGTAATAATGGCGGATTTAAAAAAAAAAAACTGAAAGAAAATCAGTAGAGTATTTCATCTCCGAAACGTCGTGAGAAATACATATTATAACTTCTACAGAGTTCTGATGGTGATATGTACGGCAGTATTGGGTTTCTGGATTCTGTTTTTCGTCAGAATATACTAAAAGTTCTAAAGGATCCAAATGCATAGATAATGTTCCAGCCGTCCACCTGAGCAGGGAAGAAGATACAGCTTCGAAACACTGTGCTTTGTTCCAAACATAGTGCGGTCTCATTTTATGCCAGGGAAGAGTTTCATTCAGACCTCGCATAAATGAAGACAAGTTTTGAAACACATACGTGAATTCTTGTCTATTTTTCTTTTGTGGGGGGGGGGTCATACTATTTAAAAAATTCCCACAAATTGCGAACGCATATTACTAATATCGGATATATAAAAACACTAGCATACTAATCACAAAAGTAAATATGCTCCAGTGACTGATCACCACGGCAGGAACACGTATTGGAGAGTGCATATAAAGCTCCACGCATTCTTAACCTCGGCAATAGATCGGAGTAAATGAATAAGAGGCTAAGTGGTCCTCAGAGTTGGAATGGACTTTGCCCTGCCACGAACTGACGTGTGAGCCCTTTGTCACCCAGCCCGTACCTCAAACACTTTATTTAATGAGCTAGTCCGGCCTATGTTTACATACTATTTATATATTTAAATAATAGTTAGACATATTTTGTTTTACACGTTGGCACCAGACATTCCCGGAATCTAATTTGCTTTTCATTTTTTTCATTAAACCATCTCTTCTACGTAATATATAAAGATTCAGTCCGTACCTCAAAGGAAACTCATTACGGCTCCGCTACAAAGCCCAACCGGTTAATGCTGTTTAGGGAAACAGTCGCTGTTTACTGTGAGACCATACGGAACAAACAGATACACTGTGTGGGCAGAATATATAGCAATTCAGTCCGTGCCTCACAGGAAACACATTACGTCTCCACTACAAAGCCCAACCGGTTAATGCTGTTTAGGGAAACAGTCGCTGTTTATTGTGAGAACCATGAGGAACACAAAATTACACTGTTGGCAGAATTCAGAGTTTTGGTATGTTAAAGCAGGTGGTATATATAGTGACCACTTGGCTTTAAAGGGTCAATATATTTATGATCTGTTAGTGTCGTTCCGAAATATTTACAAAACAGAGACCTCTATTAATCCTGAATATACTGTACTTCCATGGATCTGAAGAGGAAATGGCATCTTTGCTATAGCACCTGTCTCTCACGAGGCGAAGAATAAAATGATATACAGCTTCTGTTCAAGAAACGCAGTGGCACAAAAACCCCCAGGTCCGTAGAAACACCCCCACCCACCCCCAAACATATATGTCACAGAAATGATGTGGAAGGCTACAGTTGGGGTGAGGATTGGAATAAATGCATTAACAACAGTACGGACCACCAGGCGAGCTTGCAGAGATTGTCGATTTCCATTCAATTCGAGAATCGATTATATAGCTGTCGATATATTGGTCGTTTCGTATTGCAGACCTCTTCACAATTTTCTTTTTCACCTACCTCGTTCTTCTTTGACAGGTGATATCGAAGAAATACTCGCCTTTTTATGCCTCTACCGTCCTCAGTAATGACCAAAGAAACAGAACCTCCCTTTCAATTCAATGCCCTTTCTATCGAAATGTAATCGATACTGCCCTCGAGAGAGAGTTGATTTTTATAGTATGACTTTTCCTTTCAAGATCACATAACACTGTACGTATTAAAGCAATAACAATAGCTTAAAGCCTGATGGCAAACTCACCTAGTGGATAAGGACTTAATCCATGTAAATGATATTTGTTTTCATCTACTTTAAATGCCTACACAAAGTACTGTCACGTGTATGGGTGACTAAAGACGGGGTTCGGATTGGTAACTGGATTTATTAACCACCTACAGGCCGTAACTACAAACAAGTATAACACTGTTACTGATTTTCACACTACAAAGCAATCCACGCTACTCTCTTCAGTAGTCTTCACGGATTTATAGCACAGGAACTACAAAAGTCTCCCTCAATCACACATCCCCAACATCACTGTACTACAGCATGCACAAAGACTTCACAGGCTGACTTCTTGTACTCTTCTGTACTCCCAGTTCCAATTCGCTCTGAACTTACAGCTCAAGGCTCTCGTTATATAGCCGCGGATCGGACATAGCCCTACAGTAAACACATATCGCGTGATCGTTATCCAACCAGTCTAATGGAGCGTCGGTCGGATCTACAGAAAACACAGCTTCCTCTACTGTTGCGTGTTTACAGAGCGATTGCCTGGCAACGCGTTGATCATATCCGTTACAATACCAACATGGAACTAAGAAGGCGGGACCGTTTCGATCTACAGGGTGGAGGACAAATGGACCAAGACTGCAATTAAATTCTATAAATCCATACATTCAAAATAAAAGGACACTCATATTACCAAAACGGTCACGTAATGCTTTTACTTCCCATAGAAGACATTTCCAAGAGGTAATTCGAAAACAAAGGAGTACCAGGAATCTTCCTGGGGGTAAAGGGCGGCCGGAGTGTAAGGCTGACAACCTTACCGCCATCTATGAGCCGATTGTCTAGAAAATGTGGAAGCCTGGACGTCTCACAACCCTATGGGTCTGCCTACTTACCACAATATATGGCATCACACCCAACAATACCGTAATCTTAATAATGTAGCGCACAGACCAGTTGCTAAGCGGAAACTCTGTAAACAGCGGCTGGTGCTAGGTAACGCTCGCAACATGCATGCAACAATAAAAGAAGTGTTCTCTATGTGCTCCGTGCCGAGATCTTATAACCGGGAGGTTAGGTTTTAGTGAGCCCTACATGGGAGGACCTGAGCGCGTGAAAGTGAAGAATGTCCACTGTTAGAAGCCATTGACAGAGAACGGCTGGTGAAGACACAGCAGGCTGGACAAAGGCTAAGCTGCTGCTGTGGTGAATTGTGGAGATTAGCGGTGGTGCTGTAATTACTTGTAGTTCAGAGTCGTGTGTATAAGTGGTCAATAAATCCATTCACCAATCCAAACCCCGTCTATAGTCACACATACTACGTGACAATACAACATTGAGAAAACCACGTATAAATTGTAATATTGAACGAAATTAATATTTCTAAAATGTCTGTCTGAGAAGAAATCAGACGTATGAAATGGTATCAAAATACAATTACTGCAAAAAAAAAAAAAAGAGAGAGAGAATGGTATATATAGGAACCGAATGTTCCACTGCTCCTGTCTCCATTTTGGGTTGCCACTCTGCCCCTTTGCTCGACACTTAACCTTTACTTCCACTCTCCAACTTACGGCCCTGATCCGTTCCTTACATTAAAGTACAGACAAGTCCAACAGTTAGTTCACATCATTCACACCACTAAAAGCTGAGACGGTGACATGTTCTACGGGTCACATAATCCTTCAACCACCAATGAAACGATAGAGCGGACTGAGAAGAATCCTCTTAAAGTACCAAGATACGATCTAATCGATGTTTAGTATCTCTTATTCTGTTATT